ATGGAAATGGAGCCAGGCGGTGGTGGCGCATGCCTTCATCACAGCACTCCAGAGGCAGAAGCAGGTGAATCTCTTGAGTTCAAGGCCAGCCTGGTCTACAAAGTGAGATCTAGGACAGGCTCCAAAAGCTACACAGAGAAACCCTGTCTCAAACCCCCCCCCCCAGATGATGGAAATGGGGAAAGATAGAAGATTGGCAGAATTTGGAGGGAAGAGCTGAGAGTGGGCAGAAAGCAGATGATGTCTGTGGAAACGCCGTGCATGCCGTGGTGATGGTAGACACGCCATTGTACGTCTGTCTGAGTCCACAGTCCACCACCAGGGGTGACGCTCACACTCTGTGGCCTTTGCCTGATGATGGTGTAACATCAGTGTAGGATCATCAGCTGTAATAAGCTGCTGTGGTGGGGTGTGCTGATAATGGCTGTGTGTGTTTAGGGGCGCAGGATACATGGGACAGCTCTCCATCTTCTGTTCAGCTTTTTGCAAACCTAGAAAGCAGTTCTGTTTTTAAAGGTGGGGAGCAGAGTTGGTAAGTACAGGGCAAAGTGTAGCTTGTTTTCTGTCAGGCCCCAGATCTAACCCCCGTCACATCCATTGGAGGGGGGGGCTTCTGGTTTGCAGCAAGCTCAGCCTGTCCTGGTTGTCTCTCTCTTTTCCTTGACTGTCAGTTATGAGCCTGGCTTTTCCAGCCCTCTGGTAAATGCTGCAGGTGAATTCTTAGGGTCCTTTCCTAATCGAACATTCTCTGGTTGTGTGGAGTGGGGAGGATGTGTTCGTTTTCATTTTTGTTGTTTTCTCATCTACTTGAAAACCTTTCTACTCCAGAGGTCAGGAGAAATCCCCACACTGTCAATTTAATGTTTCTGCTTGCTGCCTACAAGGCATGAAATCACAGCCTGCCTGCCACCCAGTGTTGAAGGTCATTTTCCTTTAAGGAGCACATGGTGATGTCTAGATAACTTGTGGCTTAGAACATATGGCCACCGACTCCCCATTAGATCCCCTGGGGACTGTCACCAGTGGACCTGGCTTATAAAGGGGATGTGCCATGGCCATTAGGCAGGAAACCCAGTGTCCTGCCAGGTGGCCTGGCCTGGTGGCCCTTGCCTCGCTGGTGCTCTTGGCAGCCTCTCGGGAGAGGAACTGCTCCCATTCCCGGGGGTGTGGGCTGGTGGCTGCTTCTGAGACAGACAGCCCAGCCTGTCTGCCCAACGCATCCGTGCCTGCGCTCAGTGTTCCCGTCATATTACATCTTTTTCTTCCCTAGCATCTTTGGTCATTATTCTCACAACTTTGAAAACTAGTTACACAGTGCTCTCTTCCCTCTCCACAGCAGCTATTTACCTTCCTTGGTAGGTTTTTCAGCTCTTTATTCCTGTGTGGCGGTATTTGGGACATTACTGTCACCTCAGTTTAGATGTTACGGGTAAAACGTGCCAGGTTGGTTTTGAGCAATTCCTGAGCAGGGAACACAATTCCCTTTGCAGGTGTTCACCTTGCCAGGAATTGTTTAGGAAGTTCAGTTCTACTCTGGCTCTCAACACACAAACATTTCTGTATTTTAATTTTTAGCTCAACATAATTTCATGTGCGTGTTCCCGTGTACTTACATTATCTTCCTGTTTGTCATTTTAATGACTGCTTAATATTCCATCCAGTTAACATGCCATAATTCACTTAACTATTCCCTATTGTTGAGCCCTAATGAAAATTTAAATCCATCATGTAATACACAGAGAAGCTGGTTTTAATGACCACAGTGGCATCCCGACAGCCTCAGCTGCCATTACAGACCCAGCTTTCTCAAGGCACGATCAATCCTGCATGAGAGGTGTCTTCCAAGTCCCTCTGATTGAATAGCTAATCTGTTCTCAGCACGTTCTCCTTCAGGCTGGTGTTTATGTAGCTTGCCTGTTTCTTCTCAGTGTTACTTGGCACTAAGCTGTGTGCACGTGGCATTTCCAGGCCCTTCATCACTGGTATCTGGGGTTTTAACAGTTAATGGGAATTGAAGGTCTAGAATGGTGTCTGGCTATCAGTTCTTGTTCATCTACCTCCCCACATTCCCTTGAAAGTCTGCAGTGGTTTCTGGAGGGAGGAGCAAAGTGCTTTCCTCAGAAGCATATCTGTGAGCTTCTTTATGCCCCTAGAATAGCAGTTTTCAACCTGTAGGGCATGGCTGCTTCGGAGGCGGATGTTGAACGACCCTTTCCCAGGGGTCACCTAAGACCATTGGAGAACACAGGTATTTACTAAGTTTGCTTATAACAGTAGCAAACTTAGTTATAAAAGTAGCCCTGAAAATCATTTTATGTTTGGGGGGTTGCCACACGTGAATTGCTTACTGTATTACAGGGTCGCAGCGTTAGCAAGGTTGAGAACCACTGCCTTAGAGAAAGTGGCCATTCCCACGGGCCATGTGAGTGAAGGAGAGGGTGGTTTTCCCAGGTCAGCTTCATCAGCCGCATCCCAGTGTCCCCAGGCTCGTGTGTCCTCCTCAGAACCAGGAGGAGATGTCACGGACCCCCACAAAGCAGTAAGGAGCCCAGATAGTTGAGTTCATGAAGGGATTTACAAAGTCAGCGTGGTGCTTTACCGTTGGTGCCCCCTTTACCGTTGGTCCCCCCTTTACCGTTGGTGTCCCCCTTTACTGTTGGTCCCCCCTTTACCGTTGGTCCCTCCCCTTACCGTTGGTGCCTTTTCTTCTCATTTTTTCTTCCCCTCTGTGTGACAAGGGTAGCATGGTGCTTAAAACTGAACAGTCCCCACAGAACCCATAAAAGCCACCACCTCTTACCAAGGTATGGGGCCGTCTCTTGGGAGATCTGTTCACATGGACACAACCACAGTCGGGGTTTTTCCCGTTCATTCTCTCCCTTTCCAGAGAATGAACATTCTCATTTTCAGTAGTTTGTGCCCACACCCCACCAGCTCTCTTAACACTTGCAGACCCCTCTTTTCCACGGAGAGAAAGCTGGCCTTGGGCTCCCTCCGCACGGCACCACAGTGGTACCGTCTAGTGGGCCTGTTTGTCATCCAGTCTTTGTATGTTTAGAAGTTGTTTGGGGGAAAGACAGCTACTTCTGGGATATCTACAGAAACCTCCTTTTTAAAATAAACTTAACAACAAATAACAGTGGTACTCTGGAAGCCAGAGCCGTAAAGTCGCTGTGGGACTTGGTAAAGTTTGGTAAATACTGGCATAAGAGTTAATGCAGTCCTGAAGGGCAGTGTGCAGCCATTGGCCTGTTGCATCAGGGCACAGGACGGGCTCTGTTTTCTGGTAAGATGCCCTTGGCCTGTAGAGCAGGGATCAGATCTTGCTTGGGAAGGTACCTGTCCTTCATGTGTTCCAGCAGCAGTCCTGCCAGGCCTGTGCCCGCTGCCAGGTCTCGGCATCCAACATCTGGTTTGGAAAGTGTGTCACACATACCTTGAAACGCATCCCTGCCTCCCTCACCCTTTGTGGTCGGCTGTACTGCCACTCCCTCCGGGAACCTGGGACCACAGCACAAGGGGACAGCAAGTGTCCCCGTCATGAGACGTTACTTAGCCTTGAAGACAAGTGAGGTTCTGCCACGTGGGCCTGCCTTGGAAACGCAATGCCATGCGCAGTAAGCCAGCCCCAGAAGGACAGATGCCACCTCTTCTCCTGCGGGAAGTAGCCAGCCAGAGTGGGCAGAATGAGAGAGGTGGACAGACTAAGGGCTGGGGGAGGGGAGAGGAGGACCCCTGTTTAATGGGCACAGAGTTGGAGTTAGAGAAGATGAGGAAGTTTAGGGATGGACGGTCGTGATGCCTGCACAAGGATGCTTGTGCTGAAGGCCCGTGAACTGTCTAGGCAACAGTGGCCAAAGTGGAGAGGTTTTACATACATCATTATCTACAGTGAAAAGCTAAAGTTGGAGCCAAGCGTGGTGGCCCTTGCCTCTACTCCAGTCACTGGGGAGATTGAGGCAGAGGAATCATGAATTCCAGGCTAGTCTGGACCACCTAAAAGTTCCATAGGCTACATTGTGAGACCTTAAAAAAGAAAAGCAAATAAACTGTGAGCTTGTCCTTTACATAATGGAGCCTTGGCTCACCCTGGTCCTACCTCAGAGGATGCTATCCTTTTCTGCTTCCACTTACCAGAGTCGTCATTTCAAATGTAGGTTCTTTTCTCCTGCCCTACCTCGTCCAGGCCACTGTGCCCACCTTCCCTTACCTCAAGTCAGTGACGTGATGATGTAAGTGTTAGTTCCTAGAAATAGCAGCCTTCCCCTGAGAAACCGAGACAGTGAAGGTCCTGCATAAACAGCAGGTGTTCACGATCTAGAAGCCAGTCAAGTTTCCTTGCTTGGCCAGGAAGGAAGGCCTGAGTTCAGGATCCCAGCAGCATCATAGTAACTAGGTTCTCTTTTCTGGATAAGCAACTGAGATGTCTGTCTGCTGCCGGGGGTGACTAGTCGGTCACCCATGTATGTCACTCTTCCCAGAAGAAGCCACCTCCTGTTCCCACACCTTTCAAATCCCCGGCATGTTCAGTTGGGCCAGATGAGCGGGCTCTGGAGTACAGAATTACAGGGAGGAATCACTCAGCTTCACAGCGTTGAGGAGTAGCCTGGCCAGGTCCTCTCCAGGAGAAACTTCGCATGTTGAGCTGGGTGGGAGCAGGAGGATCCTTTGGCCTGATGTGGATCTGTGGGAATGTGGGAATGGGATTGAAAGGCTCCAGTGGTGAGACAGGGCCAGCATACACAGCTGGCCCCTGTCCTTGAAGACAGATAAGACAGTGGAGAGAGCTGTTGTTAGGTTGTCGTTTATGGTCTTGGGAAGCAGGCCCTCACCTAGAGAGCTGAGAAGACAGACACTTTCTCAGTGCAGGGCAGCCAGGAATAGAAAGGGTCGTCTCTGCCGGCCCCACCTCTCTGGCTGGCAGCTCTGACGTCAGACCTGTTTCCTGGTTGGGGACTGCACACCTGTGACGTCTCTGCTTCTTTCCTTTTTGCCTGCAGAATTCCAGAGGCAGGAGAGTGTCCGGTCCCAACACAAAGGCATCCAGTTATATGACACCCCTTATGAACCCGAAGGCCAGAACGTGGACTCAGACTCGGAGAGCACTGTGAGCCTTCGGCTGCGGGAGAGCAAGCTACCCCAGGATGATGACAGGCCCGCCGATGAGTACGACCAGCCTTGGGAATGGAACCGGGTCACCATCCCCGCCCTGGCAGGTAGGAGCCATGTCCCTGCTGGGGAGGCAGTTGCTGAAGAGAGGTCAGCGCTAGCTGAAGTCAGCAAAGCACAAGTGAGTCCAGCCTAGCCAGGCAGACACCAGTGGAGTCGGGCTGTTCTTTCCCCTGGTACCCATGGGCCCTTCAAAGATGATTCCAGGTTCCTGAGGGAAAGGAGGACAAGCCAAAGAGAAACTCCAGTCTGGCACTGCGAGGTTCCAGTCCAGTCTCCCCACTTGCATAGGAGCTGGTCCCTTGGGTCTCATTTGGTCCTGCACAGCTTCAGGGCTGAGTTTCCTATCTGTAACTGAGCTCGGAGCTCAGGCTCCTCAGCTGGTTTCCCCACTGCAGCCCGTCTACAAAGTGGTGCGGCCACTGTCCCAAGTCAGAAACACATGCCCATGCCCTTCGCCTTTCTCAGGCCCACTCCTGAGACTATGCTGATGTCTAAAACTGAAAAAAGACAGTTTATGCTCATGAGGAATCAGGCCCCTGGGATGTCTGGCACAGGCATTTAGAGGAAATTTGTACATCCTTGTGGTGGAATATTGTACAGTCAAGAGTAAGCGAGGTTTAGAGTGAGTTTGTAACCAAGGGCAACACTTTGGTGTAACATTAAAAAGTGTAAACCAGATGCCCAGCCACACACCCCAGTACTCTTCCTGAAGTGCCCATCACAGCCTACATGGAAAGATCCTCAGCTCCCAACACCCTGCTCAAATAGCCGTGTCTCTGTGAGCACCACCCTGGTATCTAACCATGCATCTACAGACATCCTTGCATGCTCTCTGGGCCTGTCAGGCTTCTCACACCATCACAGAGCTGCTTCTGTAGACGCAGGGGAACCAGAGGGGCAGGTTCCAGCACGAGTGGGAGGGCTTGGTGCCATCCACAGCTCTTTGCAAACACTAACTTGATTGGAAGGGCAGCCCTCCCAGACACCGTCTGCCCAAGCATGAGTCAACACCACAGGCAGGTGTTAGGTTCCCCTGTCGCATGCTGGACCCTCAGAGGGACTGTAAGGGCCGTTGTTGCTTGTGATGCTCTCGTCTAGTCTGACACCTCGCTCTTGGTGGTCTCTGACCAGCTGTGTTGGCATTGCCTAGGAGCTGCTCAGAAATCTAGCATCTTGGGCCCGTGAGATGGCTCAGTGAGGAAAGGTGCTTGCCGCCAAGCCTGCTGACCATGGTTCAATCCCTGGGTCCCACAGGATGGAAAACGAGAGTTCTTGCAAGTTGTCCTCTGATCTCCACATACATGCCTTGGTGCATGCACATGTATGAACGAACGAACGAACGAACACACACACACACACACACACACACACACACACACACACACACACACACACACACACACACACGGCAGGCTTCATTGTCTTGGGCCTTATACCAGGCATACACAGTTGGAGTATGTTCTTCCAAATCCTAGGTGATCTTAATGGGGAGGACATCATCTCTCAGAAGGCTGTCTGTCTGGAACCTGCTCACTCATGCTTGGAGACGGTTTTAGATAGAGCTGGTTGGTTGCAACTTTCAGGACCTGAAGTATTCATTCTGTTCTTGGTTTTGGTCACTGATTTATGATCTCTAGTGTCACCGTCACTCCAATTCCTGCCCTGCCTTCCCTCATCGAGTCTCTTGGCTTTACATGCCCTACTCCAGAGCAGATGCTGGCTGTGCTTGTCCCAGACAGCTCTGGGCTCCCTACTTATTTCCTTGGATGAAAGAGGAGGTGGATCCATCCATCACTCCTGGGCTGGAGGATGCAGTGAACACCAGCCTCCAGTCTGTTTACTCTATTCAGGCAGCAGCAGGTAGAGGCCAGTCGGCCGCCTCCGGTAATGACGATGCTTTGTGGCAACTTGATTGGATTGCTGAATGTCATCATGGTCCCATTTCCCAGCCCTGAAATGTGGTTACTTGGAATGATGGACACAGTTTCCTACTGAGGGGCTGTTACATGTTGCATGAGTGTGCATGCACATGGGGAGTGCGTGTGCAGGTATGCATGTGCAAATGTGTGCACTCACACTTCAGTGAGTTCCTGGAGTGTTCAGGGACTGGCAGTGCTCCTAGGTCCTGTCCTTACTGCGGTGCCTTCTAGAAACAACCCAGTTGTTTTCAGTCTTGAGCGTGCTAGGGAGCAGCTGTGTGGGATGAAGTTTGCTGAGCTCAGCTGTCCCTTCCTCTCTTCACTGCTCTGTTTTTGTGACTGTGCTCAGCCTGGCTGGAGAAGCCTGAGTGGGGGACGCTTTTCCATACTTTCAAATTCCCGAAAGGGGACGCTTTTCCATACTTTCAAATTCCCGAAAGGCATAGAACTGGGCCCTCGGAGGGGAAGACCCAGACTAGATCCAGGGAGTGGTAGGCATTTTGGAGGAACTAGATTGTGTAGATGTATTTTCCAGCCTCAGAGGCTGCTGTCGCAGCTGCATTGAGGAAGGTGGGTGGCAGAGAGTCGCTCTGCTCTGCAGCAGCAGTGTGGACTGTAGGCAGTTCTGGGCGCATGCCCATTCCCCTGGAACCCCCCAGCGTGCCGATGAGAGTGGGAGGGAGGATGCTGCCCTGCTCTGAGCTGGTGACAGGAGGCCCCTTTCAGCCAAGACCTGGCAGGCTGCGTGCGCACACGCGTTTGTGTGTGTGTGTGTGTGTGTGTGACACAGAGACAGAGACAGAGATAGGCAGACAGGCAGACAGAGGTAGATCCTCTTGTCCATGTCTCTCTGGGAACTTTACCACAGGAAGATTCCATGGTCGCCCTGCCTCTGTGAAGAGGGTATTGTGGGAGGATGAGGTGGCCTAGCTCCCTGGAGTGGGGGTCTCCCCTTCACTCGGAACTCGGCAGTGCATACTTTGTTAAGGATAGAGACTTGGGGAGTGAGGTGAGAAATCTCACCAGTCCTTCGCGAGCCCTTGGCACTCGTTCTCTTCGAGTGGTGTGAGGTGGTGAACGTTGGGGTGACAGCTTGCAGGACCAACAGGCTCTGCACAGAACTTGGCCTGTGGCCAGGACCACGGATTGGGGTGAGGAAGCGCTCAGCTTGGATGGCAGGCACCTGCTGCTATCAGGTTTCTCAAGGGGTTGTACCTGTTCTGGGGATTTTGACTGCCTCCCTGGCAGGGGATCCCAGCAGCCCTGCGGAAGCCTTGGTGAACTTGCTTCCCATCTGGAAAGTGGGGGCTCACAGCGCTATCAACTCCGCACCTTCTGCATGCATTGTCTCCTTGTGTCCTTGTGGCCACCCTCTGCGTGGGAACAGGGGCCCTGCCTGGTCAGCAGCAGAGCTAGTCTAACTGCAGAGCCTGTGCCCGAGCCTCTGTGCCACATGAACTATGTGTGGGGGCTGTAACTGCTGCAGCTCCAGCCTCACGTGCCAGCATGAGGTTCCAGAACAGCTCCAGCTAGAACAGCTCCAGCTAGGATCCCACCTTCTAACACAAGAAGGACCCTGCATACTGTACAGTCCTACTCCCTCTGTCATGGAGAAACTGAGGCAGAGGGGAAGAGAACCATAAATGACCTTGTGGCAGAGCCAGTCAGGCCATCTGTGGATGTGGAGAGCTGCAGGCGGGTCTGAGAAATAATCCGAGCACTTGAGAGTGTGGTGTAGCGCCTGAGAAGGCTCTGCTGGTCCTGAGGGAGACGTGACTCACTACCTCAGGATTGTCTCGCTTCAAGGTACTTTCATACAGTGTCCTGGGCTCCGCCAAAGGCAGAGATGGAGAACAGACACATGACTCAGGTGGGCATATCACTCAGCAGTCACTTGGAGCCCTTGTCTGTGCCCCATACCAGCTCCCTGGCATGTTGATCTGCCTTTGAAAGTTTAGGACAGCGTGTGCCATCTGTTAAGACCAAGGGCAGGAATCAGGCAGTCCCACGTTTGCTTGCCAGCTCAGCCATTCATCAGCTTAGACCTCAGGCAGGACGCTCAGCTCAGCCTCCCTGTGACCCTCAGTTTTCCCATCTAAAGAGAGCTAACAGTCCTGAGTTCAGTTCCCAGAAACCACATGGTGGCTTGCCATCATCTCTATATAATACAATTTGATGCCTTCTTCTGGCGTGCAGGCATGCATGCAGACAAAACACTGTATGCATAATAAGTAAATAATCTTTAAAAAGAAAAGCCATTGTGAGCCCTAAAGGGTTGTGCCTGTGAGGTTTATTACTGGAGTTCAGGACAGCTTGTTAAATTAAATAAAGCTTAATATAAAAACAGTGCTGCATGAAGAGGCCTCATTTACACCCTCATTCCTAGTTATGCCTGGCAATGGCAAGCAGGGACAGGTGTCCTGAGAGCAGTTCTGCCGTGGGGACCCTCCACTCGAATGCCACCTGCCAGGATGCAGCCTCACCGTGTTCATCTGAGGCTCAGGCCGGCGTCCATGTGAGAGCGAGAGGGTCCTCTGCCCTCCCCTGTTCTGGACATGGCGTGCTTGGCCTTCTAGGACAGGCATTTGGAACTGGAGTTGCCAGTAAGGCACTGCAGAGGGTCACAGCACCAAGAGCCACCTGAGTCCTGACCAAGTGTGGCAAGATGGGAGAACTCAAGTTCTCAGGGGACCCCACGTGGAGAGCCCCCAGTTTACTGATTGCATCCTGTGCTTAGTTGGGGGGCTGAGGGAGCCCGGGAGGGGGTATCACAGCTCTTCTCAGGCGGCACTAGTGGCAGCCCTTCTAGGGAGCCTCCCCTAACATGACGGTCCCTTGTCACCCTCCCGGATTGGGCTGGGCCTCCTGTCACATTCCAGGGATGGTCTGCTCTGGAACGCCAGATACACACTTGTCACTCTGCTCTCGTGGGTGCTGGGGCTGTGCCAGCCCTGTAGGTGGCCTCTCTGGAGTTCTGACACCTTCTCAACATTCTAAAGGCATCCGAAAGGACTGAGGAAGAGAGAGTGACGTTTAGGTATGGCTGTTTCCCGAACAGGTGTGAGTCATCTGAGCCAGCTCAGTGGCTGATTTGAAGGACCTGGGCATGGTAAACGGAGGAGGAG